GCAGCCTCTTGCAGGCCCATGGCGCCGGAGCCCGTTGATGTCTCTTGTGATCAGAAGCGTGCTTTCTCGGCTGCTTGGAACAAGGACTCTTTCCGCAGGGAGCGGCTCCCCGAGCAAGACCGGTTCGCACTGGTCTACCAGGAGTGGCTTCAAGTGGTGCTGCCGTGGGCGGGCATTACGGTCCTCGGCATGATGCTCTCTGCTGCTGTGGATCAGGCTGAGAAGATTGCAATCGTCACTCAGACATTGGGTGGCAAAGCTTTGTCCACTTTGGAGAAACGCTTGCGGCAGGTTAAGGCCTTCCTGGCCTGGGCTTTGCTTTTTGGGGTGACTCCATTCCCATTGACCGAGCATGTGTGTCGCATGTACTTGAAGAAGTTGGTTCAGGACAATGCACCCGCCTCGCGGATCAAAGGAGTGTTGGAGCTCGTCGCCTTCCTAAGGCATGTGGTCGGGCTGCCGGTTGCTGACAATGCGGGGGACTCGCCTTGGATTCGAGGCGTGCTGAGGGCAGCGGCTGCCAAGGCCAAACCGACCTCGAAAGCGAGGCCCCTGACCGTCGGCGAGGTCAGTGCCCTGGAAGAGTTCGTCAAGCGGAGGCAGGGCGCTTTGCAGGATGTCTATGCGGCCGGCTGTTTCTTGTACTTGATTTATTCTCGAGCGAGATTCGGCGATTGCAAAATCATCTCCAACGTCTTCTTTGACTTAATCAGGAAAGCAGGGGATGTCGCCGGCTATGTCGAGGTGATCTCGTGGTCGCACAAGATGCGGCGGCATTTCCCGTCGATCCCTTTGGTGGCGCCTGTCCAGGGTGCAACAAAAGGGTCGTGGGTTGAGCATTGGCGAGCCGCTGCTGCGGAAACGGGCCTCCCGTTTGAGAGACTTCAGGGCGATACGCGAGGGCCGTTGCTTCCCCTCCCAAGCCAAGGGGGGTGGCACTCAACGAGTTGCTCCACGGCCGAGGCGCGTGCGTGGCTCTCGCAGCTTCTGGTCAATCTTGGGCATGCCAGTGGCACCACCGTTGGGGCCCACTCGTGCAAGGCGACATGTCTCTCCTGGTGTTCGAAATTTGGCATATCCAAGGAGGTTCGGACGAGGCTGGGGAATCACAATGATCGAGGCTCGGCTGAGTGCTATGGGCGCGACACCTTAGCTGGTCCGCTCAGGGACCTCGAGGGCTGCGTGCTGGCAGTTCGCACGGGCGCTTTCTTGCCTGACATGTCTCGCAGCGGCTACTTTCCAGCCGACGCAAGCAGTCGAGCGGGTGACTCGTCGAGCCCCGCCGAAGCGGCAGACTTGGGCGGCACACTTGTGCTGCCTCCAGGAGATCCTGC